GGATCTGTGGACATGGACATTTGGTTTCTATTTAAACCTTCTAAGAAATATGCAGGAACCCCCTAAATGTGACCCAGCCTGGGGGTTTGTAACCTCTTCCTTCAAGGATAACACATTTAACAACCAATTTATTGACTAATCCAATATTATTCCTTCTATTCTATGTTTTCTACACTATTCTGACATGGTCACCCCTTTTAGTCAGTGACTTACTTTAATGTGATCTTTCAGATTTTAGATTTTAGGTGAAATTTAGATTTGATACAAAAATTAGGTAAATCAGCCTTTTATTTCCTGGTGAAGAAAGAAAATTTAAGAGAAAATGCCAAGCCTCATTCTTTGAAAGGATCAAGGGTATTGCATCTGAAGTCAGCTTTAATGATGTTAAATAAAAATGACATAATTACACAAGCCAACTACTATCTTCCTGAGGGTGTTCACACTTAATAACTGGAATACTCCGGTTGAAACTGCTGAAGTCAATTGCTCCCGAGTGTTAGAACTATTCTGGGAGCTGGGGATGTGGCTCCATGAGTGAAATGTCTGCTGTACAATATGAGTTCAAATCTCTAGAACCTACGAAGAGCCAGGTTTGGTGTGAGCATCTGTAATCCCAGCACTCCTACCGTGAGACTGGAGGCAGAGGCAGGAGAGTTTCTAGAAGCCAGCAGGCAGAAGGAAACAACAAAAAAGCTAGCCCTGCTTCACACAAACAGGAGAGGAATGACATCCTGTCCTCTGGCCTCCCCACACTCCCTGGGGCACATTCACACCTATATACATGCAGGACATTTGCCTCACAAATACATACACACAATTGAGGATATCAGAACCTTCTAAAAGTATTGAGATCACTTTACTCCAGTTTTCCTTCCAAGGTGGAACTTAACACATTTTTCACATACTAGAAGTGAGAATATTTTTCTTATCTCTCTTGTCCCTAGACATTCAGAGCATCACTCCTCCACAGCAGCCCCAGAGTGCTGGTTAACATTGTCAACTTGACACAAACTACAGTCACCTGGGAAGACAGGATCTCCACTGAGGAGTGCCCCATTGGTCTAGCCTGCGGCCATATCTATGGAGCACTTTCCTTTTGATTAACTATTGGTGTAGGTCAGTCCATTGTGGATGCTGCCGCCTTCAGGCCTGTGAATGCCCAAGTGAGCAAGCCGAGAAGGCCATCAAGAGCAAGCCCCTAAGCAGCATCTTCTGAAGTCTCTGCTCCATTTTCTGCCTCAGGTCCCTGCATTAGCTTCCCTGATGATGGCTAAAAGCTGCAAGCCAAACAAATACTCCCCTCCCCTAAAACTGATTTGGTTTGCAGTTCTTCACTGGAGCAGAAAATACACTAAGAGCTGGCCTCTCCGTGTTCCTTTGTGCTGGGGTCATCAAGATGGATTGGTAGAACAGGTTTGAGGGAAGAAATGAGAGGACAACACGAGCAACTGTAAGGAAGGGTCAAGACTGCCCACTCATTCATACTTGGCAGCTGCTTTGCAGGTACATCAGGAGGGCTGCAGAGGACACAAGGGCTTAAAAATTCTGAATGATTGTTGTGATGTCTTTTACCTTTCTGAAACCAAAATACTTACTCTGTTCATTTATTCATTTAAAAAAAAAAAGGTGATTTGTTTTCGCTGTCATGATTGTTTTCAACAATCAAGAAGCTTATGATTTAGTTAGCTGAATGAGGCTAATCAATCTGTTTTCTTTCTTTTTTTCTTTTAGGACGTGTTTTATTCATCCCAGAATCTACAATGTTCGGTATCTATACCCTACAGGCCTGGTATAGTTCCCACGTGCTCTCTACCATTCAGGAAGGGCCAGCAGATTGCAAAGGACAGGGAGCTAAAGATCACCTTGAATGTAACCGTGAGTGTGCCCAAATGTGAGGGTTTAAGAGGTGTTGGTGATAAGCTATTTACAGCAGACTTCACAGTGAGTGACAAATGATAGATGTCACAGTGCGAGCCCTAGGGGAACAGGCAGTATTGAACACATCTCATGACTGGCATGTTCTTGACATTTTTAACACACTTTGATTATTACTTTACCTTTCTCTAACCCCATGGTTATGCTCACTCAGTCAATTCATGGTTCTCCAATGTTAGTGTGCACCAGGTTTGCCTGAAGAGCTTAAGATTTCGAGTGTAGTCGGCTAAGTGGTTCAGTGTGTAGGGGAGCTTGTTCCTAAGCTAGGCCTGATGATCTGAGCTTGAACTCTGGGACCCACACATTCTAAGGAGAGAACACTGGTTCCTACAAGTTGTTCTCTGACCACCACACATGGTCTCTTCTCCCCACACCCACCCATCACACATACGCATGTGCACACAGGCACGCATGCACACAAGCACACACACACATATGCATGCATGCACTCACACACCCAAAATAAACTTAAAGTGTGATCTTTAAAAGTGCACATAGACAGGACCTATTGCACTCAATGCATTGGGAAAACAAAAGAGTGCAGAGACATAAAGTCGGAAGAAAACTGGGGGAAGGGGTTCCCACTGGGAAGACTTACTCTAAGCATATTGTATTCATGTGAGAAATTATAAAAATATATAATAAAAGTTTAATTTTTAGTTCAAACATTTTTTTTAATTAAGATTCAGACCAACAAGTCTCACTTTGAGAACTTCTAACTCAGTGTCCCTCAGTGGTGCCTGAGAAGTTGTATTTCCTGCACATTCTCAGGTGATGGTGATGGTGTGGGTCCAGGGACCACACCTGGAGATGTCAGAGACCTAGCATCCCCTCCATCCTCTCACAAGCACTAAAAGCCAACCAGGCTCCAGGTACCTAAAGAAAACGCAGCAGAGTGACTCCGTATGCACACCAACACCTTCCTTACTGTGCTAAAATCTCCACAGTGACATGATTTGCCTCATGCTTTATAAGCTGCCATCTTACCCCTATTTTAATGATGAAAATATCACAGCCAAAAGAGATGAATCAACCTAGTAGATCATATGCACAGGAGGCAGAATTAGGACCCAAACTGCCAAAGCAAAGATAGATAGATAGATAGATAGATAGATAGATAGATAGATAGATAGATAGAATTTTAAGAATAAATAAAGCCTTGAGTGAAAAGTATCTATGAGTACACAGAGTTTATGGAGGGATGATCAAGGGTTACAGCCCAGGGTGCATGCCAGGACAAGCCACAGGAGTGTGCTGTACCCAAAGAGGGAGTGGTAAGAAGGTTTTCTTTCAGAGAAACATTCATGAGCAGATTAGCTGCAAAATGCATTGTTTTGGAGACCTGAGGCCAGGGCTGGTGTCAGCCCCTTGGTGGAACGTTCAGGAAAAGCATCTTTTCTGAATGGCTGACACCTTAAATCATGTTAAAAGTAAGGAAGTAGTGGAGGCAGAGAGTGGGGGGGGGGGGCATGCTGGCAAGGTTTACATTTGTTTCCTTTCCATCTGAGCTGTCCGTTGTGCCAAGGCTCTCTGAACACAAGAACAATGTGACTTGCCCTCCTTCATCTCTTCCAGGCTTTTAATTTTCTCTCAGACCTGGGACACCAGCAGATACTGTTCCGTAGCCAGTGCCACCCTGTAACGCTGAATAC